AATTCCCCATGCTATACTTTTCATGCCTGTGGCTTATATATTTATTTTATTTTATTTTATTTTTTATATATTTATTTTATAACTGGAAGTCTATACCTCTTAATTCCCCTTATCTACTTCACCTATCCCCTCACCCACCTGCCCTTTGGCAACCACCATACATGTGTAGCTTTAGATACTTTATTCAATTTTATTAGTTTACATATCCTGCTGACAACTGCATTCTATCCAATGACCACAACTTTATCTTGAAGGGTTGTTTTTACTCAAAATTATTATGGTTCTTCTGAGCATTTTCCTCTTCCGTGTGAATTAGCCTGCCAACTTCCCTGGAAAGCTCTCCTGGGATCTGGACTGGAATTACTTTAAATTGATAAATTAGAGAACAATGAACATTTCTGTGATACTGAATCTTCCCATCCATGAAAATGATCTCTCTCTCCCCATTTCTATAGGCTTTCTTTTATGCATTTCCATATAACTTTAACATTTGCTTCCTGGTACTTTCTGATTTGTTCTTAATGTAAACGGTGCTTTAAAAAGTTTTATTTTCCAACTGACTTTGGCTCTAATAAAGAAAAGCAGCTGATTTCTACAACTGATGAACTGTTCTTTCTTTCCCTCATTCTGTTGCACCGACCAGAATTTCAAAATACTACCAAATAAAACACTGACAACAGACATTCTTGACTTGTCCTGAGCTTAAAGGAAAGGCTTTTAAGGTTTAACCATTAGTTATGTTTGAATTAGGATTTTAGTAGATACTCTTCATCATGGTTAAGATGCATTCTCCTATGATGGAATTTTTAGTTTTTATCAAGTTTCACTGAGTATTGCTTCTGCATCTACTGATATATCTGGATTTTTTCCTTTAATCTGTTAATATGGAAAACTATATCATTCGATTTTCTAATATTAAACTGTCCAAGAATTTCTAGGTCATGATTTCTAAAAAAAATTTATTAGGTTTAGTTATTGCTTAGTTTTTTTGGTCTCCCTCTCCCCTCCTATAAATGATTCTGGTTTATATATAACTCTCTCTCATGCTGTTTAGTTTTGATAGAATTGGCTAGGGAATGTTTTTTTCCTTCAATTTTCTGAAACTTTATATAACCTGTTCCCTGAGTACTTGGTAAAATCCAGTCTGATCAACTTTTCTATTTACATAGTTAAGTACAAAATCAATTTTGTTAATTTGGTAAGATTTATTCAGGTTTTCTATTTCTGATTTAGTTTTTGTAAACTTTATATATATGTATGCAAATATGTATGTACACACATACATTGTATATTTCAGGAAATGTCCATTTAGACTGTTTACAAATTTATCAGCAAAGAATTACTGTTAGTATTTTCTCTAATAGTTGAAATAGTTTGGTTACGGAAAATTTCAAATGTGCAAAAGGAGACAAAGTAATATCCTCAACATCCTGTTCCCATCCTAGCCTTACCAGTTATCAACATCCCTCCCACATCTGCCTCTCACATATTGACACAGATCCCAGAGACTTCACATGTCAACAGTTCTATGTGTATTGCCAAAGAATGCTTAAAAAATTATCTTATACTATTATCAAACTAATCTCTTATCAAATACCAGTGTTCAGACTCTGGTCTTGTAGTGTTTCCTACTTTTATAGTTTCAATCCACAAGTTCATTTCATTTTTGTTTTAATCTACAGATGTCGCTTTTCCCCCCCTTTGTCATTTATTTATTGAAGGAACCCCCAGGTTTTTTTCTTTTGTTCAACAGGTTTTCTTCAGTTTTGAGACTTTTAAAATCTCTGCTATAGTTGATTCATGACCTTTTCCATTTCTTTTTTAAGATCTGAGAGTGCATGCCCCTAAGAGCACAAACAAGGGGAGAGACAGAGGGAAAAGGAGAGGCCGATACTGCTGAGCAGGGAGCCCAACACAGGGCTGGATCCCAGGACCCAGGGACCCGGAGATCACGACCCGAGCCCAAGGCAGCCGCTTAACCAACTGAGCCACCTAGGTAACCTCATGACCTTTTCCAATTTTAAGTATTATTTAGGTCTTTTATGCTAAATCAACCATGGCAGAAGTAGGCCTATAGTTATATTTTACAAAGGCCCAGCTTTTGGTTTTGCTGATTCTTTTTAAAATATCATTTATTTCTGCTTTCATTATTACCCTTTCTTTGGATTTCTTCGGTTATTCTTTTAACTTCAGTTGAAACTTAGTTCATTAAATCTTTTTCTTCCTCTAAAAGAAACATATCAAAACTCCCTTGTAGTACTTTTAGCTGCATCCTACATATTTTGAGGTATAGTATTTTCAATATCATTAAGTATGTTCAAATTTCTATCATGAGTTCTTCTGTGACCTTTAATTGCTAAGTGGTATATATTAAATTACCAAACATATGGGTTTTAAAGTTATCTTTTGGTTGTTCGTTCCTGATTTAATTGTATTTTTGTCAGAGGATGTTCTACATAATACTAAGCATATTTGACTTGTTTTTAGTCTAGAGTATGGATCAGATTTTATAAATGTTTCGTGCATGCTTGTAGAGAATGCGTATCTTCTGGATATTGGGAGTAAGATACCATGTTTCATCAGGCATAACGTGTTGTTTAAATCTTCTGAGCCTATTTTTTTTGGTATGCTTAATTACTGAGAGGTGAAATTAATTACCCACTGTAACTGTGGATTTATCAGTATTCCTCAACAACTGTCAATTCATATTTTGTACATTTTGAGACTATATTAATACATAAAACTTAAAACTGCATCTCATGAATTTGTGACATTTTTATTTCAATAGCTATATTAGATCTCTTTTGGTATTTGTCTGTTATATCCTTCCTGTTTTATTTTCAAATTTTCCCATAGTTATCTTAAAACAGAATATACTTGGATTTTAAATGTAGCATTTGGTCCATTTATTATCTTTTCCCAGAAAGATCTTAATTTTGCCCACATTCTAAAATGACAGTTGAGTGCTGATTTTTAGATTGGCAGTTATTTTTTTTCCTCAGCACTTTGAAGACATTATTCTATTGTCTTCTGGCTCCAATTTTATTATTAATGATTCTCATAGCTTTTTTCTCTTAGTTGCTTTAAAGATTTCCTCATTGCCTGTCATGGCCAATGTAGCAAGATGTCAATTAGAACTTTTTATTGCTTTGGGAGTCACTTTGTGTCAATGCTTTTTGTCAGCTTGAATGTTTTGATTAACTGTCAATACCTACCCCACCACCACCACTTCCTGAGCTACACTGCTACACTGTGGGTTATTTTCTCAGATCTATCCTTTAATAACTATACCTCTTACCTGAGGAAGTTCTACTTGGTTATTTTTAAAGGGTACCTGGTCATTTCTTTTTTGTCTTTTTGATTCCTTGTAAGATACCTAAAACACTTAATTTCTTAGGGATCTAACTTCTTGCTGTTTTGTCTGCTAATTCACTCCTGGTGTGTTGTTTGCTTAAATGTTTTATAATTTTGAGTTGTGAGCTTACCTTCAGCAGGGTTTTACTGATGGCAATCCTGCAGCCTCCGTGGTTATTTTGTATTTATTTCTGCCAGGTGTCTTAAAAATATTTTTTGAGGCCAGGACCATTTTGTTAATTGTAAACAAAAATTAAGTGTTTCCTGGATTGGGCATGGCATGTAAATTACATACATCCCAAACTCTAATAAAAACAGGTCTCTAGATTAAAGTTTTAGGGGAAACACCAGAGGCTTATACTGAGACTGAGCCCAGAAAGATAAGCTTCTTCATTATTAACCTGTATTAGTAGAAGATGCATCTAATCTACCATTTCACAGCAATTATATCTCCCTTTGAGTTCCAGTTTTCTATGAGGGATCTCACAAAGGTCATGTGAGCCCCAAGCCTTTTCCATCTCACTGTGGATATTAACACCAAGCTCCTGGCAGGTCTGTTGGTAAGTAGTGGGGGGTGGGAGTGGGGAGATGAAATTGGCAAGAGGCACTTTTACCATCAATTTCAGTTTATTGCTCTGGTTTATAGTTCTCTCTTCATTTCTAGCCTATAAGAATTACCTTCTTTTTTTTTAAGATTTTATTTATTTATTCATGAGAGACACAGGGAGAGAGAGGCAGAGACACAAGCAGAGGGTGAAGCAGGCTCCATGCAGGGAGCCTCATGTGGGATTCAAACCCGGGATTCCAGGATCACACCCTGGGCCGAAGGCAGATGCCCAACCTCTGAGCCACCCAGGTGTCCCAAAAATTACCTTCTTTTTAAAAGAAAATCTTACCTATGCTTTTAAAAGGGTATCTGTTATCTTTTACCCAGTGTTTCCAGGTGTTTTGTAACAGTCAGATTTTCATGTTATCTAATCCATCCTATTACCATAACTCTAAATTTGATTTTCATAATTCTTTAAAGGTTTGTTCTCTTATCCTCACTTTCTCTTTTCACATATATCCACATTAAATATATTTTTCACTGTGAATATTCCTAGAAGTATAAATTAAAAGCAAAAAGCAAAAGTAGTTAGCAACCAATCTCAATCTGTCAGAGTTATTTAAAAACATCCTTCCCTGTGGTACTTTCCAATAAAAGCTCTACATCGTTAGCAGAGGACAGTGTGGAAAGAACACAGAACCAAGGTTCACTAGATTAATGTTTTGTTTTAGATTTCTAAGTTTTGGTTTTGACACTGCCATGACCAACCTAGAGAACTCTGACAAGACACTTCAATCTCCTGTAGTCTATTTTTCCTTCTCATAAAGTTTTTTTATGAATTGATGATATGGATCAATACGTGCACTCTCGATTCAGGAATACACAGATTTTAAGAATCTCCATGTTTGTATGCTATTCCTGAAACTACACTGTAGTTAACTATAACAATGCTGAGATCTTAGGTGCCCAATCTGATTGAAATAAAATTTTTAAAAAGTTGTAACAGCTGTTTGTATAACAGTAACTATTAAAATAATACATTATGCTCATCACTGTCTTATTATGTTCTTCTCTAAAGTGACTCAATACATAATAATACCTTGGCTTTTGGAGTAGCTTTAATTGTCCATATACAATCAACTGCTTGGCCAGGTTTTGTTTTATCTTCTTGTTCTACCTGACTAGAACGCACTATTCCATCAGCTCCCGAGAGCTCAAACTGGCAATCTAGAAAGAATAGATGAATGATGTTCAAAGGAAAATAAGATTGATCAAAATGCCATGAGGAAAAAGAGGCGATATACTAAACCTGGGATGGGATTTAAAATACCTCCTAGGTAAGTAAAGTCTGGATCTGTAATAGAAAAAAGAAGAAAGTAATTGGCATTGAGATAGTTAAGATTTCATGTCTTAAGTTATGTCTAATGCTTCATTTAACAGCAAAGCAAAAGAAAGATTTCATTGGTGTAGACTACAGATCACTTTTTTTTCCTGGGCATGAAAATAGTTTATAGGGTCTTGTTTACAGGAACAATGTTTTTTAAATGGTAATGTTTATACTTTTGATCCCATCATGAGTAACTTATTTATGCCACCTGGATACATGTAGCCTTCTGTCAATAGCAAGTTAGTCAATTGATGGATGAATAAAGAAAATGTAGTATACATAACACAATGAAACACTATTCAGCCTAACAAAGAAAATTCCGTTACATGGTACAACATAGATAAAGCCTGAAACATAACACTAAGTGAAATAAAGTTAGACACTTAAGGACAAATATTAATATTGTACAATTCCATTTACTGAGGATCCTAGGTTGATCAAATTCATAGACAGTACCAGAAGCTGCAGGAAAGGGGGAAATGGGTAGTTTGTGTTTAGTGGACACAGGTTTTAGCTTGTGTTAACAAAAAAGTTCTGGGAATGAATAGTGGTAATGATTGTGCAACACTGTAAAAAGGTACTTCACAAGTACTTGTACACTTAAAAAGGATTAAAATGGTGAATTTTATGTTATTTGTAATTCACTACACACATACAAGGTAGTAGCTAGTGAGGAGTGTTTTCAAAATGGCAGGGAAAAAATGATGAGGCGATATACAGAATACTCTGCTCTGTGAGGTAGTTTACAGAAGATTAAGAACCAACAGCACATAGCACAATAACTGATTTCAGTAAATTGATTTGATTTTTTATGAACTAAATCAATTAACTGAAATAATGACACTTTAGTATCAGAAAGATTTTAAAAAATCTTATATATGAATCAGCTTAGACTACTTATAGACATCAAAAACAATGCTCTTAATTAAATACTGTTTTTAAGTATTAAAAATCAGGCTTTTTAATACATAAAAAGTCTTACTTGAAGGAGCTCCTTTTCTATTAGTTTATGTATCATAAGAGCAACTTTATATGGATTATAGTTAAAATATAGACAAATTATAATAAAACACTTAGGATTTCTAAACTACGTTACATTTCCATTTTATAGTACTTGAAGAGTCTCTACATACATCATGCTTAGTATCATGCTAATGATAGCAATACCAGGAAAACTATGTAATATCCCATTTTGTAGATGAGGAAACTGAATGAGAGATTATGATTTTCTTAGACTATATTTATAATGGCAAAACTAAGGCTGAACTGCAATTCTCCAGGCAGTTTTTCTTACCCTACCATATTGCCTTTATAATGTGGGTGAAGATTCCATAGTTTTACCACTGAAAGAAAAAAATATCAAAATAAGTAGGTAATGCATAATTAGCTAATTATGAGTGTGTTTAGTTATTTCAAGTCATATTTATAAACTTGTCTAGGGATTAGTAAATCTAGAAGACTACTACTACTGAGAAATTAGTGTATTTTAAAGATTTTATTTATATATCTACCTATTTGTGAGAGAGAGTGTATACATGCCCAAGGGAGGAGGCAGAGAGTTAGAGAATCTTAAGCAGACTCCATGCTGAGCATGCAGCCCAATGTGGGGTTCGATCTCAGGATCGAGATCGTGACCTGAGCCAAAATCAAGAGTTGGACACTTAGCTGAGACACCCAGGCACCCCAAGAAATTAGTCTATTTTAAATGAAATTCTCTAAGTTATTGGTGGTATCTATTGAGGATAGAGGACTCTTAAAGGACTGCTACTTCCTGGAAGTAATGGATAATTTTGGAAATTTTAATGCAAGAGTGAAAACATCCTAGAATTACTGCCTACACATGAAGAAATTCTGATTCATTTGGCAGGTAGCTCCTATGAGTTTTTACTCCATTGCTGTTTATTTATTTATTTTTTAAAGATTTTATTTATTTATTCATGAGAGACACAGAGAGAGAGAGGCAGAGACACAGGCAGAGGGAGAAGCAGGCTCCATGCAGGAGCCTGATGTGGGACTCAATCCCAGGACTCCAGGATCACACCCTGGGCTGAAGGCAATGCTAAACCGCTGGGCCACTGGGGCTGCCCTCCATTGTGTTTAATTAAACTTGTCTTTGACATTTCTCCACAAAAGAACTGAAATGTTGTTATCCCCTTTCAGCAAAGTTGGATTTGGTTTATTAGGTTAAAAAAGGAAGTCTCTGAGATGTATTTTCAATTAAGCTAAAAATTTCCCCCCTACTTTTTTTTTTAAATAGAACTATGCAGAAAGTATCTGGAATTAAAAACAGTTTTAACAAGAATTGAGCAGACAGTTAAATATAATAAACTGTGTATTGAAATAGGTTTTGCAGGCTATTTAAAGATACTGAAATATTTTAAACTAGCAATTTTTTCATTCTGGCAATTCGGTGTATATAAGTCCTATTTGAACTTTCACATTGTTTTGATAATTTGGTAATTAAAAAATTTTATTGTAATAAAAATATATAACGTACATATACAACCATTATCCACTTAAGCAAAAATTAAAAACAAATTATTCTATGATTCAGCAATTGTGTTCCTTGGTATTTATCCAAATTAGTTACAAACCTGGCAAGAAAAATTCTGCATATAGATGATTATAGCAAGTTTATTTGTAATTGCTAAAACTTGGAAGCAACCAAGATACCCTTCAATAGAAGGGATATACTATTGTACATACAAAAATGAAATATTTTTTTTAATATTTTATTTATTTATTTATTCATGAGAGACAGCGGGAGAGAGGCAGAGACACAGGCAGAGGGAGAAGCAGGCTCCATGCAGGGAGCCCGATGTGGGACTCGATCCCAGGTCTCCAGGATCAGGCCCTGGGCCAAAGGCAGCACCAAACTGCTGAGCCACCAGGGCTGCCCCAAAAATGAAATATTATTCAACACTAAAGAAATGAGTTGTCAAACCATGAAAAAACACAGAGGAAACTTAAATATATATTACTATGTAAAAGAAGCCAGTCTGAAAAGGTTACATACTGTATGATTCCAACTATGTAACATAGAAAGAGCAAAACTACAGAGACGGCAATATCAGTGCTTGCCAAGAATTAGGGGAGAGATGAATAGTGGAGTACAGAGGATTTTTAGGGCAGTGGAAATACTTGGTATGACTGTAGTGGACACATGTCATCATAAGTTTGCCCGAATACACAGAACACACAACACCAACAATGAACCCTCAGGTAAATTACGGGGAAGGGGACCTTGGGCGATGATGTGTCAGTGCGGGTTCATTCACTTTAACAAATGTACCACACTCTGGAGCAGGAGGCTGATTCTGGAAGGCAGCTATGTTTGGAGATCTATGGTGGTAACTCTTTTTTCTGCTTAGTTTTATTGGAAACCTAAAACTGTTCTAAAAAATAAAGTCTATTAGATAAACTTTATTTTCTAAGATGTTATCCTTTGGCATTGACAACATAAATACTGAAACAATACCTAAAAATTCCCACGTTTAGTGACAAGAAAAAAATGTTGATTATCTTGTTTAGGCAAATAGCAGGTAATATACGTGTATGCTGTCAGTTATATAAAACTAATAGATACAGAAAAACATCTGAAGGGATACACACCAAACTGTTAACAGTGGTTTTTTATATGTAGAATGGTAAGATTATGGGTATTTTCTTTTCATTTAGATATATATATTTTTTAAATTAACAAACTTCTTACATGAAAACAAATATATGCAAAGAGATGAAAAAATTGGTATACTGAGTTACTTTTTCACCTCGTTAGTCTTTAAGTTGTTTGAAGACAGCGGCAATAACTTGTGTATCTTTGTGTTTCCGAGTTAGGGATATGCATGGTTTTATACCAGAGAGGCTTTGCGGTTCTCCCAACTGTTTGCACGTACCACAGGGTAGGGTAAAATAGGTAGAGGGGGCTGAATGAAGACCCTAATCCTAATCCTCAGAACCTGTATTACTTTATATGGTACAAAGGAGTGAATATTACAACACAAGATGGCATGAAGGGCAGGATTTGGAGAAGAAAGGGCAATGTGAAGATGGAGGTAGGGATGGGAGTGATGTGGCCACAGATCCAGGAATGCTGGGCTAGAAGCCATGAGCAATATGGATCCTTCCCTAGAGTTCCCAGAAAAAAATGTGGCCCTGCTGCGTTTTCTGCCCTCAAAAACTCTGAGAGAATTTGTGTTGTTTTCAGCTGCTAAATTTGTAGTTAGCTAATTAAGGCAGCTTCAGGAAAATAATACATCAGGCATTCCCATTTTACCAATAGCAACCCTCAGGTTCTACTGCGCTGAGTAATCTCATAGCTGTCAGGGAGCAGGGAAAGGATTCAAACCCAAATCTTTTGCCTCCAAATACAGAGCAGTATTTTTTCTATTGCTCAATATTTTCTAGAGATTACTTATTCTTTTTTTTTTTGAGATTACTTATTCAAATGAGTAATTGTCATTCCAATGGAAAAACCTGACAAAATTTTCTATTAAGGATTATGAAAAGATAATTTGCTGAATTATCTTTTAAAATATATTTATCTTGATGTTTCTAGCCTTGATATACATTATAAAACAAAGAAATCTAAGAAAAATGTGATACCATCGACGAAATGCTTCAAAATTCAAGTGATACAGTTCCAATTTTTGGTTTTATTTATTTTCCTTTTGGCCCTGCTCATTTCTTTAACATTTTGATTTGTATAACTTGACTAAATTCTCTCTTTTTCTAGACATAAGATTCTAAAACCATAGTGAGACCCACTGAAAAAAACAACTTCATTACCTGGAATAAATGAATATTTTGCTCGAAATCCCAGTCCTTCAAGTTCTTCATCAGAACTAAACTTAATCCACATGAATCTCCCTGTTGATCTAATTAGTGGAGGGCTTTTCACACCACAGTAACGATCTATAAGTGGAGAGAAACCAAATGGCCCATCTCGAACCTCCAAGTGGTCAAACCGACATTCAAATGATGGTTCTATATAATAATGTTCATCAAAGGTCAACTCTATTCTTTGACGTGGCGCCGCTAGAAAATAAGAGCAAGCAAATCAGGGCAACACAAACAAAGGAAAGTATAAACATCCTACACAAGTGGGAAAAGCAAAACAATTGCTGTTATTGTTGCACAGAAGACAATCATAATGAGGACTGTTATATATATAAAACTCGTAATTAATGTTGCACTATATATCACTAATAACAATGCTGCTTTGGAGAACTATAGTGATCTTCCCCTTCGGAATATGCTATTTATTAAATTAGTTAAATGTACTTAATTAAAATTACAGTAGAAAAGCTAACAGTTCATGAGATACAATGAATAGAAAAACAAAAAATGACAAGAACTAATGTAACTTTGGACATAAATTTGCATAAAGCATAAGAGATGCTAATAAGTTTGAGTTTCTCTCTTTTTTTAAAGGTTCTTACTAGAGAAGTTTCTCATATATACTGACATATTTAGCTGAATTATATTTTAGGGGATTCAAAATTCCTATAAAATTTCAACTATTATTTTGTTAATGTGTTCAATATTCAGAAATATTTATAATTACTAGGGTTTAATTCAAATACATGCTTACATTTTGTTCAAACTGGCTTAAACTGGGCATCTTACCAATGTACTTAGTTTTACAATAAAGTTAAAATTCATCCATTAAAAGAAAACGGTCAAATACCTTCCAAAATGTAGATACACTCCTTGTTTGGCGGATAAGAGTCAGGATAATTTGGTGAAGCAAAATGACCTCCATTGCTAGTTCGAACCCAAATGCCACACTGGGTTGCAGGAATATGCTTGATTCCAATATTTTGTCCATCTTAGGGAAAAATGGCATTAAAATACAAATTATAGCAAAAGAGAATAGCATTCTGCTCTTTTCCCCACAATTTAGCCAAACAATTGCCCACTCTATGTTACACATATAGTGTATATAATTTTGCAAGAGCCACTGCCAAGTTTAGCACAACAAATTGAATACAGCAGAAATGAGAGAAAGGTAAAATTGTATGCTGTGCTGGTGGGAAGAACTTGCTGCCAGAGGACAAGTTTGCCCTGTAGGAGAGTGGGGTAATAAAATGCTTAGATTTTACAAGGGCAAAATCATGTGGAAGAATCTGATAAATTGGTGCAACTCTATAAAATTCAGTTGTGACATAAAAATAAAAGGATCCCAGGGGTTTATCTCTGATGTGGTCCCTCTATAATTAGTTTCACACAAAAAAACCAAACAGGATCCAAATATTATAAAGAGATTTTAGTTAAAGATTGTAGATTGAACACATGCATTTAGTTCTCTTTCCTTAAACTTTGGTAACAGTACCGGAAGTTTTTTAAGGGCATAAACAAACTCTTAGGCACAACGAGGTAGGTACAATCACAAAAACTGGTAGTACTTGGTGTACTATCCTGCAAGCAGGATAAGGCATGACAGGTGGTGGTGAAACTGTGCTTCCTAAAAACATGAGGCCTGGCTAAAACTCTATTTAGAATCAATCTGATTTCTAATACCCTCTCCTATTCTACAAATCTAGGTACCTGCTGTTCTGTCATCCTACCAGAAAATGAGATTATTCCTCTGCAGAAGAAGATAAAGCAGGGCTACTAGACTAGGAAACACCAGGCACAGCTGAGGGTGACAGTACCAACACGCAAACAAGGAGACCAGTGAATGGCATTTCTGGCTTCTTCCCCCACCCAACTTCTTTCAAGGCTCTCGGTGAGATGCAGAATCTCTAAGCAGAAAATGGAAAGCTTCCTCTCTGGGGAACTCTAAACAGTCCAAAGAAAAAGACCCACCAGTGTAGGTTCAGGGATTCCCCACTGTGGGTCACTCACCAGTGTGAGCCATAGTAAACAAATCCCTTCTACACTTGGAGACAGCTAATCATCAGATTTTAGTGCTCCTCTCATAAGAGTAGAATTCAAGGGTCACCAGATATTTGAGGAAAACTTCTAATATGAACAAGGAATAAAAACAAGAAGAAAGGAAATCTGAGGAAACAAAGATGATGTAAAAAAAAAAAAATCACACACACACACAAAACAAACAAAAAACAACCTAAACAAAACTGTCATTTAATCTCCTTAGAGAAAATGAGAGTCTATCTATAAAATAAGAACAAGGCGGGGGGGGGGGGGGGGAAGAAGAAGGATACTTTAAGAATATTCAGAAAATAAAAATTTTCTAAAAATAGAAGAAATGAAAAATTAGTAGAAAGTTTACAAATTGCAGCCCTGGGCCAAATCTGGCCTGTGGCCTGTTACTGTAAATATAAAGTTTACAATGGAACACACATCCATGTCCATTCATGTGCCCGCGGTCCACAGCTGGTTTCATCCCACAACAGCAAAAGTGAGTAGTTGCTCCTGAAACTATAAGGCCTGCAAAAATCTTAAATATTTACTGTCTGGCCCTTTACAGAAAAAGTTTTCCAATTCTTGGTAAAATTGGGGAAGTCTCAATAAAGACTGAGAATAAAACAGTAAAAGACAGTTGGAAAATAGAAAAAAAATCAATAAAATACCCCATACCCAAATAAAAGTTTCTTAAAGATAGGAACAGAAATAGAGAAAGGGGAATTTAAAAAATTAAGCAAAGAAAAAAGGAAATAAAAATTTCATAAACTGAAAGACAAAATTTTTATGTGGAAAAAGCTCTATGAGTGACTTAATGTAAATTCTGAATACAGATGTGATCAGAATTATGACAGAACTATACTGAAACAGGTGGTATAGAGGGAAAGTACCAATATATAGTCAGGGATGGGAAGTGGGTGCAGGAAGGGCTAAATGCTCATCTTCCATGGTAGGAAATCATTCTCTAATACAGTAAAACTAAAATAATTAAGAAGGAACAGTATAACATATTATTTAGAAACAGGAAGGGAAATACCAGAAGATTCAGCTAAAATTCTGGTTACCTCCATGGGGAAGGGAGTCACAGAGGGTGGAAAACTGCTTTTTCATAATTAACTTTTTAGAATGCTTTGATTTTTGTCATTTGTGTGTAGAACTCAGATGAAAATAAAAAGTGAATCGGGAAATGTACTAAGCTCTGACATGAAAATCTCGTTCAAAAAGCAAACTAGTTTATCTTCTTTCATAAACAAGGACAATCAGAACAGGTCCACGGGGCTCTGAATAAGATACTGATGGAAATATTTCATTTGTCTACATTGAAAAAAGGGACTTTTATTTTTGCTGAATGATAAAGCACGAATCTCATTTAATTTTTGGACATAATCCACAGTGTGCTAGGAGCTACTAGTGATGCCAATTTAAAGAATTTATCAGGGCAAGACTTTATGTTGACAATTTACTCCAGTTAACTGCAGTGGAACCCAGTAAAATTGAGGCTGATAGGTTGACAGAAAGCCTTAGGTCACTGCAACACCCCAGAGGAATTATGGAAATAGTATTCAAAAGCTGCAATCTTTTCCAATAAGGCATCCCACTGTCCTGAATATGTGGTAAGTTATCACTGGAAGTACTTTACCTTGGGTCTTTTGGGCCACAGCAATCCCTTCGACTACAAGTACTGTTATTAACAACACTAGAGAAATAATAGAAAAGAAAAGTTAAAAAAATCGAATCTATATTACATTTTACTAAATCTATAAGGAAAATCAGATGATAAAGATTAATTAAAGCTATTTCTTACTAGTGTTCACTCTCAAGATTTGTAAGGGTTAAATGTTATGTTCTGCTTTACCATTTGGCACTTAAGACAACCCAAGAAAAAAATACAATTGATGCTGTACAAGCACTAACAGCATGTGGCATATAAAATATTTTTCAATTTATGATATATTAAAAACACACAGGTTTTTTTTGCAACAAACTTAGTTGACCTCAGTTATCCTTTATCTACTGTACTCCATCTCAAAGAGTTTACATGCATTATTTGGGTAGCTCTACAATGTATTATGCCAGTAAAAGTTCAATTAGATTATCTGACTTGTGAGAGCATTTATAATAAAGACAGAAGTAAGGGGGCAGCAGTCTCCCAGAAATAAATTCAAGACGTTTTATAGTTGTGCAGTACTATGTGGTGTCCTGCATTACAAAAGCCAGCATGTTGAGAAAATGAAGCTTTTCCCCCAAGTTGAACATTTCGGAGACCCAGTCAACAACATATTAAATTGTTTTGTGTATGTATTTTGATGATTCTTTTAAACATTTTATTTTTATGAATGGTGCACTGATATCTTTCACTCTCCCTTTCATGGAAATCACAGTGCCTCAAAGTCCTGTGTGAACTGGAGTTTTTATTATTCATTCAGTCAATAAGCACTTACAGAGTGCCTACTGTACCAAGGGATAGTAGGCACCAAGGATACACAGATGTTTTGGGGTGGGAGGATACAGCAAAATAGTTAAGATTATGGACTTTATGAGTTAGGTGGATCCAAGTTGGGGTTCGAGTTTTGCTGTGTATCAGCTGTGAGGCCTTTTAACTCAGTTTACTTATTTATAAAATGAAGACATTGCCCTAGTAGCACCAACCTCATAAGGCTGTAGAGAAGATTAAATTGAGATGATCCACATAGCAAGGGTTATAAGCTAGGCATTCTGTGAAATAAAGGATGGGAAACTACCATCCTTAAGGAGTCAATCTATTGTCAAAGAGAATTTACAATACAAGGTGAAAAGTTTAATAGGAGTTATACAGAAAGCATAATGGAAGCAGAGACAGGAACCATTCATTCTGCTGGGGCTTAAGAGGAACAGAGTGAAGATAATTTCAGAAATAAAAGGTATATTCTCTTTGGATATTACAGGCTTCAACCCAGGATACAGAGAAAGAAATAGCTTGGACAAAAACACGGAGGAGCACTGATCTATGGAGGGTCAGCACAAGGAGGGGAATAGAGAGAGATATGCCAGGTGAGACAGAATGAGGCCTGATCATAAAAAGCTGTCACACTACAGAGTTTGGACTTTTGACCCTAATGAGAAGTCATTTTGTATTTTTATTTCCAAAAATTTTAATTATTTATCTATTAAGAGGGGGCAGAGGGAGAGAGAGTCTTAAGCAGGCTCTTAAAACCCCTAAGATTGTGACCTGAGCCCAAAACAAGAGTAGGACACTTAACCGACTGAGCCACCCAGGTGCCTCTCATTTTGAGTTTTTAAACTAGAGAATGACATATTACATCTGTCTTTTAGACCAATAATCTGATGGTTTCATGGAGTCTAAACTGTTAAAAGAGAGACCATTCAGGAAACAAAAATGCTAAGGTCTTGAAGCAGGGCAGTGGTACTGGAAATTGAAAGGAGAGATTTATAACATGATTCAGATGTAGAGTAACTGCAGATGATTTACAGGATGAAAGCAGTGAGGGAGATGAGGGTAGTTGAGGTTGTGAGAGAGTTGAGGTAGTGAGAGATGAGGCTGAAGAGGTTGCTAGTTAAGTGACTGCTGGATGGTCATACCATTGTTCATGCAATAGCACGTACTGAGTATCTACTACCCAAATCACCAAAGTAAAAAGTAAATTCTTGCCAGTTGTTTACATTTTATAATCTAGTCATTGACATCTTCATCTTTAGTTTCCTGTATCCTTGCTGACCTTTGTCTCCTCTGTTTTCTCTCAACACCTTTCACTTCCCCTTCCCTTTTTCTGGTTGCTAGTAGTCCTGAAGACCTCATTGTCATACAAGAACATTTCTCCCTTCAAAATCTTCACAACTTTGCACTGGATCAGAGTTTGAGGAATGGAGAACTGAAACATTTTTTTATTTTTTAAAGATTTTCTCTATTCATTAACACATACACACACACAGAGAGAGAGAGAGAGAGAGAGAGAGAGAGAGAGAGAGAGGCAGAGGGAGAAGCAGGCTTCATGTAGGAGCCTGATGTGAGACTCGATCCCAGGACTTGAGGATCACACTCTGGGCTGAAGGCAGGCGCTCACCCGTTGAGCCACCCAGGGTCCCCATTTTTTTTTTTTTTTTACACAGAGTATTTATGATTAAAAAAAAACCTAGAGTAATATTAGGTATCTGGCAATTCAGCAAATAACACATCCGTTCGTATCAATTTATCTTGTTAGAGGACACTATTTCCCAAGGAATATCATTTGGATGATACACAACTGATCAAAATTTTGTGCTCAGTATACTTTTCATCCTGAATCACAGGCATAACAATTTACTAGTTTTCACATTTATAATTCACAGTATAGAAGTTAACACAAAGACCGACAGGGCAAGTAACAAATCAACAAACTGAAACCAGGAGAGCAATGGCAGAACTATGGCAAAAGGGTGAACCGTGCCAATAGAATTACATAATGATCAATAAAATTTGGCTATGTAAAATATCTGGCTTATGAAATTTACAGAGTGTGACTGTGGTAGATCATTTTATTTTATTTTTTAATATTTTATTTATTTCTTCATGAGAGACAGAGAGAGAGAGAGAGAGAGAGAGAGGCGTAGAGACACAGGCAGAGGGAGAAGCAGGCCCCACGCAGGGAGCTCGATATGGGATTCGATCTTGCGTCTCCAGGATCACGCCCTGGGCTGAAGGTGGTGCCAAACCGCTAAGCCACCGGCGCTGCCCTGGTAAATCATTTTAAAAATAAAACTGTAAGCCCAAAGAAACCTATTATTCTTTTCTACTTTACTTAGAGGGTTGCTCACAATTTTCTTTTCCCCCAAATGTTAAAAAAAACTATTCACAACTAAATCAACCAAATGAGCAGTGCTACTGAATATAAAAATGTTATATAAAGAATGGGGTGAATCTGCATGACAATCAGGGATACAAATATTTAGTGATACAGGTGTGACTATTAATCATTCTAAATTCTATATCATAATAAACATAGTTTCCTCCTAGTTGTGTAGGATCTTTGCAAACTGCTTGTTGTAACCAGACTGGGATAATAAAACAAACTCCATTAATGCCAAACACTGGAATTCTTCTGTGTTTAGTTCCAATCACATGTCACTATTCCCTTCTTCCTCTTACCAAAAGGACCAATAATTACTCAAATCCAGAAATACCATACGTTTCGAATTCAAAGATAATGTATCCAAGAAGACCCTTCTTTTCTTTTCTTTTTTTTTTTTTTTAAGATTTTCTTCATTTCTTCGTGAGAGACACAAAGAGAGAGGCAGAGACATAGGCAGAAGCACATTTCCTGTGGGAAGCCCAATATGGGACTTGATCACAGGACCCCACTGATCATGACCCGAGTCATAGGCGGATACTCAACACTGGGCCACCCAGGTATCCCATGAAGGCACTAATTCTGCAAGGTAGAAATCCATGACAAAATACAAATTCTAAACTCTGTAAACATACCACTTAGTTATATAGAGAACTACTTGTGATTTGATGCTTAAAGTGGGAGTGCCCACCATTTCTGCTCATACACCTGGTTCTGGAGTTTAGTCCAGGCCTCGTAATAATGTGTATAGCTGGGTGGCTCAGTCAGTTAAAAGTCAACTCCTGTCAGCTCAGGTCATGAACTCAGGGTCAGGAGACTGAATCTGACCATGAGCCCCGTGTCAAGCTCCACATTGAGCTTCACCCTGGACTCTCTCTCCTGTTCCCTCTGTCTTCCCTCCACCCCTTCCCCTCTCTTAAAAAATTTTTTTAATGAAGACTTACATGATAAAGAGAGACTCTATGGAAGGTGCTATATACAAGTCCTCAATGCTGCTACTTTTACCTTAAATCACTGTCATATTAGCTTCTCCCCAGGCCTTCTAGTTTAAAGGCCTTACCTTCCACTGGAAAAGTCAAGATCAAGTTTATTCTTTCTATTGTTACTTAATAATGGAAACTGGCCAATGTAGTAAATACTGGAAAAGAGATAAATTATTATTTACAGATAATGTTACTCAATGCCTAGAAGTCCCAAGAGAATTACTTGGAAAATTATTACCCTTAGTAAGAGAAGAGAATAAGACTAAAATAAATTAAATAAACAAGTCAATAAATTTAATACAATGGAGAAACAGGTTTTAGATAATAAAACAATGGAGAGGTAACAATTCTTCCAAGTCATGTATTTAAATATATTTGAATCAAAATCTTAGTTTTCTGGGGGACTAAAAACGTTGCTGATGCTCATCTTGAAGACTTTTTTATATTGGCCAAGGAAAATTAGAAATAAAGACATAAAATACTTAAAAATAATATATACTTATCATAAAGCTGTAGTAATTCAAAATGTGGCAACAGTATAGAAAGAAATAGATGATTTGTCAACAAACATATCCAGCCCCCACTGTGTAACAAGCCAGTCCTTGAGGCTAAAGCAATGAACCAAGCAGCCTTGGTCCTTATTCTCAAGGAGCTTAAAGACGGAAAAAAAAGAAAAAGTTTAAGCAACAGACACATATATTTCAAAATTTATTTTATGTATGGTATTTGAAACTCTCAGTAAAAGGATAGGTTTAATAAATGATTCTCAGATAACTTAATAATTATTTGAAAAAAAAAGAAAGCAGATCCCACTTCTAAGCTAAACAGAAAAATACCAATACCAGATTGAAAAAACAAAAAGGTGAATTATGTATGTATCCTTTTGCGTG